ATGCCTCAATATTTTTGTTGAAAAATTGGAAAGTAAAAATCACTCTGTTGCCTAGAAATTTAAAAAGTGAGAAACCCTGATTAATGCATTAATATTTTTTACTAGTAAAACAAAATGCTTTTTAATAAAATTCACCATGTATAGGTTTTTAATTACTTATCTTTTTCCTAGAAATTACCTTTTCTGGTCAAGTCTGTCAGCCTTCTTGGTAGTTTTTCTATTTTTGCTGTCATGCTGAGAGAGGCCTTCCTCATTTAAGGATTGTAGGATTTAAAAAATATAATTGTGTAGGGCACAATGGTGTTCACCCATAATCCTAGGTTCTTGGGAGGTTAAGGCAGGAGGATCACAAAATCAAGTCCAGCCTGTCTCAAAGAAAAAAAGAAAAAAATCTAATAAGGGGGAAGTTTGCTGGGGATGTGGCCACTGCTAAAGTGCCCTAGTATTTAATCCTCAGTGCTGTACCAGCAGCAGCTATACACAGTGGTATCTCGGTTTACAAACAAATTCTTTGTCCAGATTGTAGAAAGAATTAAGTTTGTGAACTGTAATATCACTGTGTATTTTTTTGGTGTTGTTTTGTTTTAGCTTTTTGTCTTCTTACTTACAAGTACTCCCTTAATAATAATGGCCTCCTAGGCCCTGGATAAGGAAATAAAATTAGCCATATCCTTTCTAAGTTATTTTAATACCATGTCTTTGTCAGGTTGAGCTGTTGCCACAAAATGCAGTAGACCGTTGCTTTTAACAGCACAACATTTATGTCTCACAGTTTGGAAGCCTGGGAAGTCTCAAGATCCAAGTGCCAGGAGATTCATTTCTAAATGATGGTCATGTTCCTGATCGTGGGTGGTCTCCTTTGTGTCTTCATGTGGAAGACAGAAAGAGATACAGAGAAGGTGGGAGATCTGCTCTGCCTTTTCATATAGGGACAAAAATCCCATTACTAGAGCTCCGTTCATAGTATCATCTAAACATAAGTACTCCTAAAGGTCCCACCTTCAGGTACCACATTGGAAGTTAAGGCCTCAACATATAAATTGGGAGGAGACAAAAACATTTGGTCTGTAATAATTCTTTTATTCCACCACTAAGGATATCTGTTTTTATTTGTAGGTTGTGTGTGTGTGCGTGTGTGTGTGTGTGTGTGAAAATTACCCCTTATGAATGATTCTGACAAAATAAATAAAAATAAATAAAATAAATAAAAAGGAAGTGTTCTCTTTAATACTCCTTAGGGGCAATAATTAGTATTATTTGGCAGAATATAAAAAAGTTACTGTCTGTATATTTATAGAAATATGTGGTTAAGATTTTACATTTAGCTTTTCAGTCTATCCACATTTATTTTTTTGTATTCACTATTAAGGATCTGTTTTGCAAATAGCACTTGTTCCTTCAGCATTTCTTGACTGATTTACTATTTCTCCACTCAAAATATTAATTTTATTTTATATCTCATTTTATATTTGTAGGTCTGTTTGTGTACTTTCAGTACTATTTGTGTGCTTTCAGTACTATTTATGGAACTATTAAATAAAGAACATTTTATTAACTTAACATTTTTCTTTCCCTTTTTTAGGTCATTGTCATTTTTGAAATATTTCTTGACTATTATACCTATTCTACTTTTTTAGATTTTTAAATAAGAATTTTCACTGGAATTAGGTTGAATTTGTGTATTATGGGGAGAAATGACATGTTTTTAAGGATTTTTGCCAATTAGGTTATTAGGTTCTATACAATTTTATTGATGAATATTATATAAACAGTGTTTTACAAAGACTAATTAAACCTTTTCTGCAAAAAAAAAAAAATGCCTTTTTAGCACCAAATGAGAAAGTTACATGAAATGTCAAAGTTATGAATAGTCTGAAAATATCCTTGCATTATTGGGATAATTCTTGAGGTGTTACATTTTTCTTAAATATAGAGCCTGAGTATTACTTCATAATATATGAACTTTTAAAAGTAATATTCATGAGATTGCTTTTTCGTGAGTTTACATATTTTCTGGTTTAATGCCAGGTTTATGATAACTTGCTAAAATTTATTAAAATGTTCCACATTTTATATGTCTAAGATTAATTAGTAATTACACTTAAAAGTATGAAAGAGCATAATGGTAAATTTTTGGAGCTTAGTAATATTTTGGAGCAGTGATTAAAAGAACCAAAACTTTTCCTTCCATAGTTTAGTGAGCATAAATTGTTCATTTCTGTAATATCTTTAGTTATTTCTTAGATTAAATAATTTGGCCTATTTATCTTTCCCTTCCAAAAGAGTACGTGAGAGTTGTTTAAAGTTTTTGTTTAGAACTGTTTGAATATGTTAAAGGACATTTTTCTTGATTTTCCTGTGATACATCTACATTTTTGTATTCATTAATAGATACTAATTAGATATAAAATTAAGTTTTAAAGTTATTGTTTATTTGTACATTTTGAGTGCTTATTCTGGTTTACTGTTAGTTTGTACCTTTATTTCTTCATGTCACGGATATGATTGGTAAGCTTTCCAGCACTTGTGTTCTTATGTAATTGTCAGTGAACATCTTAATTGACTATAATATTCATGTATATTAGTCTCCCCTGAAAAAATGTTTTACTCTGTTCCTTTGAAGAAGGAAGTAAATATTATATGGAAAGAGTTTCATGTCATTTGATTTTAACCTTTGCTTTTCCAGTGTTTTTTCTTGAAATGAAAAAAAAAATTTAAACATTTATATAAACATTTCTTCATCAGTGTCTTCTAGAAATTGGTGTGTCTTGAAAGTTCTTTTCTGTAATGATTTTTAACATATGGAAATCCACCAGAATATTACTTTGATATTCTATTTAATTTGAAAGAACTTACATGAGTAAGTTATTTATTGCTATATAAAAATTACCCCAAAACTTAATAACTTTGAAGCAGCATCCATCTATTTATTATCTCTGTTTCTGTGGCTCAAGAATTAGGCATGACCCTGGTGAACCTTCTGCTTTAGTCTCATCAAGCTATAGCTAAAGTGTCAGCCAGATCTGGGATCTCATGTGAAGGCTTGATGGCAGAAGGATCTTTGGATCTCTCTTCCAGTTTGGATAACATTAGCTCTTTTTAGTCCTATTTTGTTGTTAAGTCATAAGAGTATATTTTTTAAACTTTATTTTTTTTAGTATCTTTGCATTCATCATAGAGAATTTGTACCTGTACATAATATATCTAATTCTCTTTTTTCCTATTTTTCTCCCCATCCCTCAACTCCTCCCCTCCCATTTATAAAAGCTTTGTTTCTATTTTTTTTCCTTTCATTCTCTTGTTTTTCCTTTTCCCTTCCTTCTCTTTCCCTTCCGCCTCCCTTGTTCTCCTTCCCATTTGAACATTTTCTTCCTACTTCCCAATATCTGTCATCCATTTTGGTCCTTATTTACACTTTTATTTTCTCACACAAGAGAAACAATGTGATCTTTAAACATGTATCTAATTTATTTCACTTAAAAGTATGTATTCATGGTGCATCCATTTACCTAAAAATATCTCAAGTTTACCCTTTATGGCAGAGTAGTATTCCATTGTATATAAAAAGTACATTTTCTTTATCCATTCATCCATTGATGGGCATCTAGGCTGTTTCTAAGATTTAGCTATTACAAATTGTGCTACTATAAACATGGGTATGCATATATTACTTGGTATGATACTTTCAACTCTTTCAGAAAGATACCAAGAAGAGGACTAGCTGAGTCAAATGGAACCTCTAGTTTTACTTTTTTTTGGAATCTCTATACTGATTTCTATAGTGGTTCTACCAATTTACATTCTCGCTGGTATTGGAGAAAGGTTCTCTTTTCCCCCACAGCCTTGCCTGTGTTCGCTATTGGTTGATTTCTTGAGTATAGCCATTCTTTCTGGAGTAAGCTGGAATCTCAGTGTTGTTTTAATTTGCATCTCTCAAATGACCAGCGATATTGAACATTTTTTCACATATTTATTTGCTGTTTGTATTTCTTCACCTGAGAAGTGTCTGTTCATTTCAGATGCACATTTTTGGATTAGGCCTTTAAATTTGGAGGGCATCTGATTTTTTTTTTTTTTGAGTTCTTTATATTTTCTAGATATTAGTCTTTGTCTGAGGAATAGTTGGTGAAAATTGTTTCATTCTGTGGGTTGTCTCTTCACTCTGTTGGTGATTTCTTTTGCTGTCCAAAGTAATGATGAGATCTCAGTTATTGATTCTTTGTAATATTTTGTGTGATCAGGGTTTTGTTCATAAAGTCTTTGACCACACCTATGTCATCAAGAGTTTTACCTATTTTATCTACTAGCAGATTTAAATATTTCTTAATATTTAGATCTTTAGTCCATTTTGATTTTACTTTAGTGCATGGTGAGAGATAGGGGTCTAAGTTTAATCTTCAACGTGTGGAAAGCCAGCACCATTTATTAAAGAGGCTGTTTTTCTCCTGGTGAAGGTATTTTGGCCCTTTGTCAAAGATAAGGTGGCTGAGTGCATTTGCAGTTGTTTCTGCATCTTCCATTCTGTTCCATTGACCCTCAAGTCTTTTTTTTCCAGTACCATGCTGTTTTTATTACAGTAACTTTCTAATATTACTTCATATTGGGGATTGTGATGTCCTTTGCATTGCCTTTGTTGCTCAGAATTGCTTTTGCTATTCTAGGTGTCTTCTGGTTCCATATGAATTTTAAGATTGTTTTCTCTAGTTCTGTGAAGTATGCTGTTGGTATTTTGATTGGGATTACATTAAATCTGTAAACAGTTTTGGAAGTATGGCCATTTTCATTATATTGGTTCTGCCTGTCCAAGAACAGGAGATATCTTACCATTTTCCGATATCCTCTTTTTTTCAGAGTATTGTAGTTTTCAGTGTATAGATCTTTCACTTCCTTAATGAGATTGAATGTTTTGTTTTGTATGTGTGTTTACTTATGGAGGCAGGAGAAAGGGAGGGACAGAGAACATATGTTCATTTTAACAATTATGTACTTTCCCCCAATAGGTGCCTTAGCTGGACCAATTATTGTGGAACCACATATCACAGCAGTATGGGGGAAGAATGTTTCATTGAAGTGTTTAATTGAAGTGAATGAAACCATAACTCAAATTTCATGGGAGAAGATACAAGGCACAAGTACACAGACTGTTGCAGTTCACCATCCTCAATATGGATTCTCTGTTCAAGGAGAATATCAGGGAAGAGTCTCATTTAAAAATTATTCACTTAATGATGCAACAATTACTCTGCATAATATAGAATTTTCTGATTCTGGAAAATACATTTGCAAAGCTGTTACTTTCCCACTTGGAAATGCCCAGTCCTCTACAACTATAACTGTGTTAGGTAAGTGTGCTTGGATTGTGTGTTTGGTGACAGTGGTGAGAATTCTAAAACAATTATTTTCAAGAACTTAAAATAATGCCACCTCCCTTGCAAGCATAAGGACCCGAGTTTGATCCCCTGTACCAAAAAAAGAAGAATTTAAAATATTTGAAATTTTCCTTAAATTTAGGGTTAAAATGAATTTAAATATGATTTCTCAAGTTGTATCTTAAAATATTTTGATTCTAGGCTCTTAATTTAAACAAAATCTTACCTTTATCTACCTATCTACTTATAATCGTGCATAGTTTTAACTGTTACTTTTTATAGTACTTTAGTTTTAATACTAAATTATAATATAAATGCTGAGTTTCTATAACATTCGTTTGCATTACTTGGTTAATGGTAATTATAACTAATTACCATGTTTAGTTAAGCTTTTCCATTTTTTCCAGTGACTGACTTTGACTTTTTTGAACGTTTGACAACTCATATTTTCATTTTTTACATCAAATTTTATTCTTGTTATTGTAGATTTGTGAAAGTATTTGAATCTTGTGATTTGGGAAGACTGATCAAATGTTTTTGATAGATTGAAATGAAGAAATCCTAAAATCATTATGCTTCAACTATGAAGCCATGAAGGCTTGAAAGTAATTTTCTAATTTTTGCCAGTTGAGTGAAGAAGGGCAGAATTTAAAAAATACTTACCTGGATTTTGTAATTGGTATATATAAGAAACAAGGGAAGTTTGAACAGTACCAGGGTTTGAAACTTGGTGACTGAATAAATTACTGTTAATTGAATGGGCTCCTCTAAATGAAAAACAGGTATTGGGAGGCTTAGACAATGAGTTCAATGTACTACTTATTGGGTTGAGTGTATAGGTGAAAATAACAGGCATGAACTTAGAAGCAGAGGAGCTAAGTCTTGTATCAAAATTGGAGGAAGTTTGGAATCATATAGATAATGTTTATTTGATAAAAGTTTTAAAGAAAATATAAAAGTAACTAAACAAGCCTAGTGTATGTATTAGAGCTGGAAGGTTGGAAGAAAAATGGATGAAGAGTTCAAGGAGAGCTATGAGAAGAACAGTGATAATCAAGAGAAGATAATTTTCAAGAAAATATTGCTCTAGCAGCTTTTTCTGCCTACAGAGATGATTTGACTTATCATTTCAGCTCTCTTAATAGTGCTACATAGCTAGTACCATTCTAAATTCATTACTTAAAACAGATACCTTAGATAAGAGGACTTAGTTCTTTTTAAATGGTTGGGAAGAGCTGTGCTGAAATACTGCATTCTACAAAATTAGTCAAAGAGAATACATGTAAAGAAAATATTTTGTCTGTACATTAGGTGGTCTTTGGTGACACTAAGGTTTCAGTGGATGTTTGCTGCAGAAATCAAATTAAGAGAATGGTATATAACAAAATGTTTTAGGAAAATTCAACAAATGCCTCACAGAGGAAGAGTTGTTAGATTAATTACAGTACTCCTCTTGATGGAATATTATATAGCTGTTAAAACTATAGTTAAGAGAAGTATTACTACTTGAAAAAGAAATGAGCTATAAAATTAGAAATAAATAGGACTCTGATCTCTGAAAAAAGGTAGACAAAGGAGGTGAACTTTTACAATTGCTCCAGCTTCCTCCTTAGATAGTTTGCAGGCCTTAGATCAGGAGTGAAAAGGAGGTCGGGGAGGAGGGAACAATGGGGAGAGAAAATTCTGAGTAGTATTTTAAGGGGCCAGATAAATCAGCAGCGAACTGCTAGACAGGGAAGAATGACTGAGATGTGTGATGAAATTAATTTTAGAAAAGCAGTAGGGAACACAGATGGATTTTTCTTAAAAAATAGCAATTTAAAGTTGACTTTTAAAATAAATGGTTAAGTTCCTCAATAGAAAAGAACGCTGCTATTAATGATGACATAAATTATTCAAACCAACTCTCCCACTGAAAGAGAAATGTGAATACCTTTGAAAATTTCAAAGAAATATTAACATAGTAAGGAATATAACTAGATCAAAATCTAGTAGGTGAAAGAAAACAGAGATTAACCTGGTGCAGAAAGCAGCATCCAACCTTATGATATTTGACAAGTCAGAAAACACACCTGAGATGCTGAGCTAAAATTTTCAGAGCCTTGACAAGTGAGTGAAATGCCTGAGTGTAGTTCTTCTCAATATGAAATATCTAATCATTCTTCTCATTCACTTTATGCCCTAAGAACCTCAGTTCTCAAGAGTGGTAAAGAAATTAGAAGTAAACTGGCTTCTTTATGAACCTAGATCTCATTATATCACTTGAAAAAACTGAATTTAAGAAAATTCTGGCCTGGTTATTGTTTTCAGGAGGCTGGCGTAAGAAAACACATAACGTATATCTTTTCTGGGGGAAAGTACTTACATTCTGATCCCAGAATATTTCTGCATTAATATTTAATCACAGTTGCACAGTTTGCTTGAATAACAAGGCATGTAAGAGGTGGGTGCAGTGGTGCACTCCTATAATCCTAGCACTCAGTAGGTTGAGGCAGGAGGATCGCTGAGAGTTCAAAGCCAGCCTGGGCTACATAGTGAGTTCAGTTCAGGTCAGCCTGAACTACAAAGGGAGTTCCTGTCTCAAAAAACAACAAAAAAGGGCATACAAGTAAGGAAGACAACAAAGGTAGCATCCTGCACAAATAAGACAAAAGAAATTGAACTACAGAAGTCAATTTATAAATTATCAGCAGAGAACAAAAAATAAAAAGTTACATAGTAGGCTTCAAAAGAGACAGTATTTCTTAGTACATAAGATGGTTAACTGTTGAAAGTAAACACTTTTTAAAATAAGTAGTTCACATAATTTTTTTGTATGTACTAATGTGGAAAGAAATCATCTGTTCCTGTGAGTAACATGTATCTGTGTCAGGGAGAGTCATATTTTTAATAGTAATAAAAAATTTTTGCCATTCTCCCCCACCCCCCACCCCCCGCACCAATCCTCTGGTCTTAACTGCTTTAAGAAGGTAGCTGATTTAATGCAATGCCGATTGAAATTCCAGCAATATATTTCACAAAACTAGAGAAAACAATCCAAAGTTTCATTTGGAACCAGAAGAGACCTAGAAGAGCAAAAGAAATTAGAGATGTGGCTGGGGGTATCACAATCCCCAACTTGAAACTATACTACAAAGCTACTGTGATAAACAGCATGGTACTGGCAATGAAACAGACCCAAGAATCAGTGGAATAGGTTAGAAGATGCAGAAACAACTCCAGACATACTCAGCCACCTCATCTTTGACAAAGGAGCCAACCATCCTCATTGGAGGAAAGATAGACTATTTAATAAATGGTGTTGGAAAAACTGGATTTCAACCTGCTAAAGATTAAAACTAGACCCATACCTATCACCATGCACTAAACTAAGATCACAGTGGATTAAAGATTTAAGTATTAAGACAGAAACATTAAATTTGCTGGAAGATAAGTTAGGTAGAACTCTTGAAGACATTGGCATAGGAGACTTTATGAACAAAACCTCAGTAACATAGGAACTAGCACAAAGAATCAACAACTCATCTTATTTAAAAGCTGCACTGCAAGAGAAACCACCAACAGAGCTAAGAGACAACAAACAATGTGGGAAAAAATTTTCAGCAGCTGTACCTTAGACAAAGCACTACTATCTAGAATATATAAAGAACTGAAAAAAATTAGACACCCCCAAATTCAAAGACCCATTTCAAAAATGGTCATCTGAAATGAAGACATTTCTCAAAGAGGTAAAAGCAAATAAATATATGAAAAAATGTTCAATATCAGTGGTTTTTCAAGAGATGCAGATGAAAACAACACTGAGATTCCACCTCACCCCAGAACGAATGGCTGTTATAAAGAATTCATCCAGTAACAAATGCTGGCAGGAGTGTGAGGAGAAAGGAACCCTTCTCCATTGTTGGTAGGAGTGCAGACTGGTGCAGCCACTGTGGAAATCAGTATGGAGATACCTCAAAGAACTAAGACTAGAGGGCCCATTTGACCCAGCTATCCCCCTGCTGAGTATCTTCCCAAAAGAATTAAAAGAATCATACCACTGTGATATATGTGCACCCATGTTTATAGCGGCACAGTTTGTAATAGCTAAAGCTTGGAAACAGCCCAAGTACCCATCAACTGGAGACTGAATAAAGAAGATGTGGGGGTTTTTTATAAAATGGAGTACTACTCATCCATAAAGAATGAGAAACTAACGCACCTGTTTTGTACATGATTGTGTAATTTAAAGGTATATAAATACAAATATCTACATCTATAAAAAAAAAAGAATGAGAAACTGGAGACATTTATAGCTAAATGGATGCACATTGAGGCCATTCTCTTAAGTGAAATAAATAGGACACACATATGTAAATACCAAATAGTTTCTCTAGAGTGAGAAACTGAAAGTGTAAATAAGGATTAAAATGAATAATCGATAATTTGAAATATGAAGAAAAGGCTCAAAGAGGTAGGAGTGTCAGGAGGGGAAGAGGAGAGATCAGACTTACAGGCTGGAATCTGGAAAGAATCCATATGTAGATTGAGTTTAAAACTATAGGAAGAGATGTAGATAGAGACTAGGCTAGAGCTCATCAGTGGGTTGGGAAGGAAGAGTCACTGAGATCAAAAGAGAGAAGGGTGTGTTTCCAGAAGAAGCACATACAACTATGTACAGTACACAGTACTCAATAGTGTGATAAATGACTGTTACTGTTTTAGGTACATATCATAACATGATGTGCTTTTCATCCTTTAGAGCATAATCCTGCTTATATAAGAGTTTACTGTAAAACAGTGTGCTGCTATGCCAGTGGTAGCCTCATGTATCTCGTGTCTAACTGCATATTTGGATAATATCAAGGGGCCATCACAGATGATTGACGTATACCTTTTCAGTTTGCACTTAGAAGTTGGCACTCTATGTGGTAACTTTGCAATACGCATGGATGAAATTGCCTAATAACATTTTTCTCAGATTATATTTCCATCACGTGTCATATGACTGTATTGAAATTGAAATTTTAAAAAATTGGCCTATGTGGAGTCTACTAGCTAATTAGAATTTTTTCCAGACTACTATTTGTTCAATATTAGTTTTGAAAATCTTTCTAAAACAAATCACATCCTCTGATGTCTTATTAATGCTTGAGATCTTTTTTAAAATTATATGGAAAAATGTTTAAGTACTTTTCAGTTTTGCTTTGGTTGAGTTCTATATTTGAATATCATGATAGTTTTTTTCCCTTGCATTGTTTTTCTTTGAATAATTTTTATTTTTGTGTATGTGTGTGTTTGGTAATAAAGTTATACATTAAAAAAAAAAAAAGAAGGTAGCTGATACTGGCATTACCTGAGAAGCATGTGTGTAGATATTATATGCAGTTTTCCCTAAGCTTATGAAATGTGTCTGGATATGTCTTGGAAGGATGTAAATAATTTTTTAATTGAAACATAACTTTTTTAAAAATTTAAACAGTTGAACCCACTGTGAGCCTGATGAAAGGGCTGGATTCTTTAATTGATGGAGGAAATGAAACAGTAGCAGCCATTTGCACAGCAGCCACTGGAAAACCAGTTGCACATATTGACTGGGAAGGTGATCTTGGTGAAAAGGAATCCTCTACAGTTTCTTTTCCAAATGAAACAGCAACGATTATAAGCCGGTATAAGCTCTTTCCAACCCGATTTGCTAGAGGAAGGCGAATCACTTGTGTTGTAAAACATCCAGCCTTGGAAAAGGACATCCGATATTCTTTCGTGTTAGATATACAGTGTAAGTAAAGGCTAACAATTTGACTTTCAACTTACATCATGTACTCTACTTTTTCTTCCTTTGACATATTTCATTATCAAACTTTTTTTTCTCCTTAACAAAGGATGATTTGTTCTGTCATTTGCTTATTTTGTAGATGCCCCTGAAGTTTCAGTAACAGGGTATGATGGAAATTGGTTTGTAGGAAGAAAAGGTGTTAATCTCAAGTGTAATGCTGATGCAAATCCACCACCCTTTAAATCTGTGTGGAGCAGGTAATATAATGTTCTATTTCCAGAGAGAAATTATTCAAATGTGAATACTTTCAGTGCATGTTTAAAGTTGTTTTTAATTGGTATAATACATGATGATAGTAATAAATGAATTTAATTAAATGAAACACTTCTGCATATGTATTCTACTGCTCTACCCTTCCCTCAACCTTCCATCTCCCTCAGTTCTATTCCTCAGAGGCTCCCTTAGCAATTTTACCTGTTTTCTGGTACTAATTACCATCAAGTCTTAACTCCTACTTCTTGATTTACCAATTTCTAACATTTCATTTCTTAGGTAGGTGAAGAATTAGTTTTTTGTCTATCCCTTCATCTACAAACGTACCCCAAACATATTCTTACCTTTTATTGTCTGAATGAAATTGTTACTTTTAGTTGAACTCTGTAATTATTTTGCTTCCCTGTGATAGACTGATATATTATTTATTAAGAACTAAGTAGTATACCAGAATTTGTTTTCTTTTGTCTACAGCTGTTTGTTTTCCCTGTGGCTGATAATTGCCTTTCTACTTGTGTAGTTTTAATGATCTCCATCTCTTTTTCTTTATCTCTAAATGTTCAAACTATTAGTACTAAGATTTTCATTCCTGTTCTCAGTATTTGGGGCCTGTTTCAATCTTGAGACTTTTATCTGTAACTTCAGATAATTTTATTTATTTTTTGTCATTTTCTCATTTTTTCTCATTTTTCAAACAGTTTTATTGTTTTTCCTAGAATATTTTCTTAAATTTGCATTGACTTGATTTTTAAAAAAAATGTTTTGACATATTTCCAATTTCTAAGATCGCCTTCATATTCCCTGATCATTTTAATAGCATCTTTTTCATGTTTTATAGATGTTCTATCTTGTTTCTTCACTGTAACGTCAAGTTATTCTCTCTTCTAGGATTTTTTTCTGCTTGGTCTTTCACTTTGTAGTTATTTCTTTACCTTCTTGCTTGTCCAGTCATTTCACAGTGAAACATTAAAATAAAATACTCAGTGAAAACTCTATAATGAGGATTATTTATTAGTAGGTTCCACTTGGAATGATCCCATAGATTTTCCTCTAAAAGTTCCCGATTTCATCAGTGAAGAGTAGAAGTCTTCTGGCAAATTCATTTTATTGAATTTACCTTCATTATTTTGTCTGAGAAGTAAATGTCTTGTATCTGTGCAGAATTGGAATCTATTGATTTGTTCTGTAACTTTCAATTGATCTCTTTATTTCTAGCCCTCTGCTGTCTGTTGGCCTTCTGCAGTACAGTCGTCAAACTCCAAACTTTCTTGCCTTCTTTGGACTCTACTGGTTGCTTTTGCATTCATATTCCTAGTGTAAGCAACTCTTCAGCCTAAAGAAGAGATTTTTAACTTGGGCACTATTGACATTTTGGGTTGAATGATTCTTTTTGGTGGTGGGCAGTTCTGTAAATTGTACAGTGTTTAGCAACATCCAGGCCTCTATCTCTAGAGCCAGTAGCACCAGCCACTCTCTCAGTTTTGAAAACCTAGAATGTCTCCAAACATGCCAGATATCCCCCAGAGGCAGAATCACTCTTGGTTGAGAAAAATGGGCTTAAAGCATGTATTGTTTTCTCTGTTTTCTGTCTTCTACAAGTTTGTACAACTGTCATGTTTGTTGACTGCTGCGATCTGTTTTCTTTCTCTTCATGGATTTTAAATAACTTTTTAATTCCTCAACTCTTTTATGGTGGGATTTTGTGGGACTTAAGGAAACAGTATATTTGGTAGCCCTGATAACATTTTGAAGATAGTTTTGAAATTATATTTTCTTAGAAATTGGAGGCAATCATTAATTAAGATCTCTATTTGATGAAGTATTTCTAAAAGCTCTATCATCCTCAGTCTCATCCCAGTGCCTGTACTTCTAAGATGTCTTTTATTACAAGCAAGTCGTTTAACCCCTCTAGTACTTAGTTTCCTAGCTGTGGCATTACTTCATAGAGTTTTTGTAAGGGTGAGTATAAATGTCTATATTTATACTTTTCTGGAAACTTCGAGAATTATAAATGATTCATGTAACATAAGTACAAGAGCACAGAAGATGCTTAGCATATGTCATCTCTTAGCTGTTTTGTGAGACATGTAGCTTTTTCTTACTCTGTCTTTATTGAATAAATAACTAAAATATTATAAGCCAGTTTTGAATTTCTCACAGAGTTTTGAGCTCAAGGTATGGATGTAAGTGGTAAGGCATATACAGTTTTGAAAGCTGATCTTGCAAATTATCTGTCCAAAATCCTCTCAAGATTCAGTGCTTTTGTTTTTGTTTACTAAAATTATGTAAAAACATTATCTTTACCATTCAGTGCTAAATTAAATGTTTAGAGTGTTCCTGATCCTAAAATCTCAAATCCCATGTGCTCTAAAACCTGAAGCTTTTTGAGTACTGACACATTGTGGGTTTCAGATTTTTGGATTAGAAATGCTTAACCAGTAAAGTCTACACAAGTACTATGAAATCTGAAAAATTCCGTAATATAAAACAATTGCAGTTCCAAGCGTTTGGGTAAGGAATACTCAATCTGTACTAAAACTCCAAAAGATTTTACTGTTTTTCTATACACTACTCTTGGGATTGCAAAACAGTATCATTGCACCAATTCTCTAGTAGTATTTGCTTCTTTATACCTTTTTGTTATTCTTTATCCTTATTCCTTTTGTAATGAGTTTTTGATCTCCCATTATGTACTTAACCTCATTAAAGTTAGGGTTCAAGTAACTCAGGCATTTTAAAAGCATTTTCAAACTAAACACTTAAATTTTTTTTGTAGTTTTATTTTTGATTTTTGATTATTTGTACCTTCAGGTTAGGAAAGTGATTTTTCATTTAGTTCCATTGAAGTGAATAGCTTTAGAGTTTCTTCTAGTGGACCTTACATGGTTTATAGGAATAATGGATACTGTAGAGATGCTATATTTTAGTCTAATTAGTGTGGAAACTATTTTGAGTTATTGATATAAAATTGTGCCTTAGTTTTTATTGTCACAGACACTCACTTTACAAATGAAAATTTTCTAATAAGTAAATCCTTTGTCTAAAGAGAGTCTATAAAGGGAAGGAGTGCAGATTTATATTAGTATTAAATGATATGGTATAAATATATTATAGAAGATACCAAAATGTTTTAACATATTTAAATGAGATGACTTTTTACTAAGGAAATTGTAGATATATATATAATATATATTTACAAGTAACATAATTCATAATTAGAATTTCAGTTACTTTGATACTATGACTGTGCCATCACATAATACATATTTCTACTTTCCAGGGTTCTGAATATAATTTTTTAAATGATTTTTTTTCTTTTCTTCCCTCCCAGTCTATTGATTTGGCCTAGCTGCACTTATATGGGTTAATATTTGTGAAGAATGAATATACATACTGGATTTTATCTTTATTAAAATGAAAATGTATTACTTATGCTGTCATTTATAGTTAATTGTCTCTGAAATATAGTGGTAATTTTACTAACATCTCAAAGGTATAATGTCTTATTTTAGATTGCTGTCAACAAATATAGTTTGAAAATACTTAAAACAATTTCATGCTTTTTAAAATCTAGGTTGGATGGGCAGTGGCCTGATGGTTTACTGGCTTCAGACAATACTCTTCATTTTGTCCATCCACTGACTTTCAATTATTCTGGTGTTTATGTCTGTAAAGTGACAAATTCCCTTGGTCAAAGAAGTGATCAAAAGGTCATCTACATTTCTGGTAAGTTACTGTCTACTTTCAAAATAATTATTTAAAATATTTCTACAATAACTATTATAAATGATATTATATAAGCAGAAATTTATACTTGCAAAGATATAGCTTGATCAGTGTGAAATTTTTCAAATAATCTTAAGAGATATGCTAAAGTATGAAATACATATATAAGGTGTCATTCCTTAAAGGAATGTCAAAATATTGAAGCAACAGTTTTGTATACATTTTAATACTTTTTGATATAGTTTTCATTTAAACAGCATTACATTTGTTTTATAGACATCTACTTTTCTAAACTCTTTAAACAAAGTATAACTTCAGTGGCTACTCTGCAAAAAATTGTCTTGATTTTTAAAAACAGGATTTTAACCTTGGTAACCTGCCTCGTCAAATAACACTGCCTGCCACTTATGGGCCTCTCCCATGTTGGGTTACTGAGAGATGAAATAGGAATGCTACTGAAAATGTTTCAATTAAATAAACTTTAATATATTTTTTATTGCCAGTTCTTAAGCCACTAAGAATTCAGTTTTAACATTATTTGTTTCACTTGGATGTTTTGTTAATTAACAGAATATAAATTGGAGCATTTACAAAATGTACATGGAGTTAAAATATATTTTTGTGTGGCAATAAATTGTCAGTAGAATGCTGATTTAGAAAAAAGTATAAAATATTTTGAGTACTAACTGCAAGAATACTGTGTAGCAGACTTTTGGTCTAACAAATAGAAAATTGAGAAAAAAAAGAAGAGAACCTTGAGAAATGCGGGTTTGTATGGTGAATATGTAATGAGTAGTTAAGGTTATTTCTTCAAATCTAAAATGAAATATGCTTGCTTAAATATTATGTTCTTAGTCATGTGATCATTTAAGAACAGCCACCCATGTATTATATTGGTATAGTGCTCACCATCATTTATAGTTATATTCTAGTTTATTTCCTTATCATCTGCCCTTAAAATTCAGCAACTTGTTTTCTTTCTGGAGACTCAGGTTTCTTTTATGTGATACAGGCAAGAACCACAGAGCTGTATATATATTCCTAATTCTTTCTGCTAGTAGCAGTGCTTTGGTGAAAATCTGAGGGAAATTAAATAGTAGTGGATACGTTTCTCTTTCTTCCTTTAGAGGATAAGCCATACAAATGGATATTTAAAATGTAATTGTATAAACAATTTTTGATTTTTGTTCCTGTGTTGTACTGTTTGCTGTGGAATATTGTAAATCATAAGTGCAATGTTATAATTATGTAATATTTTAAGGCTCAATTTGCCCAGACTCAATTCAGGCACTCTTATGTATGGTTGATTCTACTGGGGATTTCTGAAATTTATATTCTTTTGACATTCTGAGTCCACTTCCTAGTACTCCCAACTTCCTATTAATGACCATTAAACTATATGTAGAAGTTAGATAGGCATTACAGCTTAATGTTTTCGAAACTGAGATTCTGATCTTTCTCCTGCCCCCGACACCAAACCTCTTTCTCTGTCATTCTTGCTCCTGTCTGTTAATGAAGTTCCATCTTTACATTTGTTCAGGGTACAACCTCGATCATATCCTTGATTTCTATTCTTTTTCATACCATACCCAGTCCATCAACAAATCATTGTTGGGTCTCTCATTAAGTAATGTAGAATTTTACCAATTCCTCACTCTTCTGCTAGTGTAAGCCATCAGCAAGTGTTACTTCGCTACATAATAGCCACTTAATCTCCCACTTTGAATCTGTCACCCTTCAGTCTGTCATCAGATGAACAGCCAGAGTGAGCTTTGTAAAGGGCATGTCAGATCATGTCACTTTTCTCCTCAGAACCTTCCATGGACTTCACATTTTATCTACAGTGGTAACTAATACAGTGACTCAAGGCTCTGTACATGCTCTAGTCCCAGATTATCTCCCTGACCTCATTTCTTATTATATATCCCTTGCTTACTGGAATAGCCACCCTGCCCTTCTTATTCTTTGAACACAACAAGTACATTTCTGGTTATCAGTCTTTGCATTTGCTGTTTCTACTGTTTGGAGTACTCTTCTACTACAAGGTATCCTGATGACTCTTCCCTTCACGTCCTTTAGGTATTTGCTAAAATACCACCTTTTTCAATAAGATCTTTCTTCCTTTGCGATTGTATTTTAAATTGAAAATACTGTCTTCTCACCCTTTCACAACTTGCCGTCCTTCTCTGCCTTGCTTTTCTATTTTTGCTATGTGATATATACTACATGTTTTATTTTTATGTGCTTGTCTATTTTTATGCCCAATAGAACTTGGGTTCTTAGCAGGATTTTTATCTACTTCAATAATTGCTATGTTTCTGTCACCTGCGGTGGTGTTTTAGAAAGATGTTCAACATACTTTCATTTCACACACAAGTGAATTTGAGAACAATCAGGAAAGAACTGAAAATCCAAAGTCTGCTTTTACGTGACTTATGTTCTTTGACTAGAAAACTGATAATTTTACATAGTTTTAAAATTAACATCTACTAAGCCTTATAAGAAGGGAAATAAAATTTTGAGTAAATATGAAAAAAATCACAATTAATTAGTTCTAAATACTTCAGAAGAATATAGCATTATGTAAGATAGTTTTGGAGAGGTGATAATTAGATCTTACCTTTCTACCCAAACTCTATAATACAGTATACTCTCTCAAATTTAATTAATTCCACTGAGAGCTTCTTGGAGTATCCTGAGTATCCTAGATATAATTCTACTTTTCCATAATATTTAGTAAAACCTAGTAGGTTTACATGAGACTAATAGGAAATATATAGAATAATCAAATCATTAATTTTTTCCATTGTCAATTATATATAATCCCTTTTTTAACCCTAAGACAAAAATTTACCTCATTATTAAAGCTGACATTTTAATATTTTAGAAGTGATTTTTTAAAAATATGTAAAAACAATTGAATAAAATTGTTTTTAATTTTATTGCACATTTTTTATATTGGTAGATAGAAAATTTTTGGATGAGTCTATAGATTTATGGTTGTAATATTCAATTTCAGGTATTTAATTGTACTTTCAGAAGATATGGTAGTTACTTGTCCAGAATTAAATGACTGCAAGAAATTGCATTTTTTTGGTTTGCTTTTAGTGTGTGTGTGTCTGTGTGTGTGTGTGTATTTCACTTTTCTTTAAAAATAGGAAAGCAGTTTTTTTTACATGTCAGACACTTACCCTTATGACTAAAATTCTTCTTATGCAAATGTTGAATTGCAAACCATATTCATGTGAGGGTCTAGACATAGTTTCAAAACCTAACAACTCACATTTAGCAATTTTTATTAATTTTTTTTCTGGTACCAGGAATCGAATTCAGGACCTTGTGCTCACTGAGCTACATCCCTGGCCCAACAATTTTTCAAACTTTAAAATGAATTGGCTGTTTGTTCAAACAACCCATACAAAGTTTAAAAGAAAATAGTGGTCAATCCATTTAATTACTAACACAGTAATCTTTAGGTTAAAATATTGGGTTATTGTCTTATTTAGCAAAAATAATCAGAAAAAGAAACATAAGTTCTTCATTTGGAGAGGAAAACGAGAGGTATACTGAAATTCATTATACGTGTTATATTTTCATTTATCATACATTCAACAAAGAATGTTGAGAACATCTGACTGAAAAAATAAAGAATAATGTTAAGAAGAGTTTTAAATCATAATAAACAATTAGCTATTGATGATTAGAAAATTTTCTTGCCTCAACATGACATGACTTTTGTTCTAAATATAAAGACAAGAAAGTGATCTTTTCTTAAAATACAATATAACAAAGTATTAACAATAATCTATGGAGTTACATTAATAAGAAGGTTAATTTTTTAACACTAGAAAGAGGATGGAGGGTTGAAACTTCAGGGTTCACAACAAACTAAATCCAAAATTTTAAAGTTTTTAAAATATTTTTTCTAAAAGCCATATTTTGTTAAATCTGAGTGAAATGAGTAGTCAGTACTTTGGAAGTAGAAATTTTAAAATGTCTTTTTTCTTAGAATATATGGTAAAAATGTTGAGTTATGTATTTTACACCTGGAGAGAACTCAGGTGTAAGTACTGTTAAACCTTAAAATGCTTATATCTATTAAAATGTGTAAATTATGATTTATGTAGGTGATTTGTACTTTTACTTAAATGTGCTGATGCCAGCTTCTTATAATACTTTTTTCCTTGGTAATTATTGTAAAGATGATGTACAATACTTAAAACTACACTTCTTACCCCTTCAAAAATATATGAATTGTCTTACAAATGATTTAAGTTTTAATCTAGACAGTATTCTCATTCTGTAAAGTTGGATTATTTGAAGGTTTACTACCTTTATAGAGATAATATGTAAGTTTCACACTTGTTTTCAGATTGAATTTATTCAGCTAATGAATACATTCTTATAAATTAAACCTCTTCCTGGATTCACTTACGTATATTATAACTAATACTTCAAAGTACTTGATAGGATTAGCTATTAGTTTATAAACTCAGAAAATTATACTGTACTTGTTAAGTTGTATACTGTATTTGCTAAATTTTTACCACATTCTATATATATGGCATTCCGTGATGAAACCTGTTTCAGTAAGTATTTTTCTTTAGCTTGTAATATTAGAATAACTTACCCCATGTAGAATTAGTATTTTTCTAACAATCACTTTTTTAAAGCTTGGTCAGTACCACCCATTTAAACATTAATTATAGGAGATTGCATTTGAGTCATTTATTTTTATCTATGAAAAAATGAAGATTTTTTTTAAACTCATCTTTTCTTCAAATTCTAGTATTTTTGTGTAACATGACCTACAAATACTACTTAATTGATAATTAACCAATCTTTAATTTTACTACTTAACGTTTAGTTGCTTTTTAATAATGACTGCTGTAATCTAATGTCAGTATACAGGTTCATTTGCATCTAATATTTAAGTATTATTAGAATGTTCTCTCTAAAATATTAGCTTCTGTTTTTGAGAATCCATCCTAAAGCAATGA